AATAGCAGTGAGATAGTTGAAGGGGTTCTCACTAATCCGGGGAATTTACAAGTGCTTTTTATTTTTTTTGGTTGAAGTCATCTCTCCAAAGTTTGGCGGTATTAGGAACAGTGGAGAGAGTCCCAGAGTTTATTTGAGAGATATGTAAAAAGCTCTCAAGTAATTGTCTTAAAAACAAACAATGTTAATTGTATAAATTATTAGTCCTCTCTCCATTTGGTCATACATATGGACACAGATGAGGACTTTTGTGCATATGTGTAGCTGTATGTGTTTGTGTTCATAAAAATTGTTGTCATCATTCATTAACACACAGACAGTTTCATATGAAACTTTCATTATTCGAATCATTTTCTCCGGGCCAGAATCAGAGCTATAGCCATTCCTTAGGAGATGTGAAAATTGATGTATGACTTGAATTAAGCACCTGAATGATGTCTTGGCTTTGATGTTGCCTAGCACCCACAGTTGACAATGGGTTTGCAGATTTTATTCATTTAGTAAAGTGTGTATTACTTGAATGCTGAGTATTTCTGACATGATGTAGGCACAGGGGAGGAGGTGTGTGGATATGACAGTTTCAGACTCTGTGTGATCTTTTTTGAACTTCCGTCTTCACACAAAAGAGGATTTTGTTTTTTTGAAGGTAACTTTGTTAACCTCCACGGCTGTGGATTATCAGCTCCAACTTAATGTTCTTGTATCTAAGAATTTGGTGTCTCTCATAAACCTTGGCTGTTCTGGAAGGTCCAAGCCAGGCCAAGTTGATGAGCGACTCGCTGTCTAGCAGCTAAGTACAGGTCACACAGTGCGCGTCCTGCACTTCACCTTGGACAGTGGCCATAGGGAGGAGCAAGCAGCTCCCTGGACCAAAAAGAAGCTGCTCTGTATGGTCGGCGGGCCCCAGCTGTGAAGGCTGCTGGGTCTCCCCAGATCCATCTGCCTGATTTCTTGGATTCTGCACTCAGCCAAGCTCAGGGAGTTCCAACTGGAACAGCCCTTCTAGGGCCAGGCCAGAAATTTGCATCACAAACACCGAAGAGGTCAATCGTCTTGGGCTTTGTCAGCGGTTGTGTGGCAGAAAATTCCTTACACTGGATCTTCCCCCTTCCCATTGCTCCTTTGCTTTGTCTCTGGGTCTATGTCCATCTGGGCAGCCATACCCCAGCAGACTCTAAGTCAAGGGTGGGTGATGGTCCAGTGAGGCCAAAGAAAAGACCCCAAGACAGCAGTTGAGACACAGGTTTATTGGGGAAACTTATAAACAAGGAGTCCAGAAACAGTGAACAAAGCATCCACTACCGGGATCTTCATGCAGCAAGCTTCGACAGCACAGCAACTTAGCCTGGCAACTATCTTCGGCCTCTTCCTTCTTGCGTGGCAGCGTTCCAAGGAGATCAAGCCCTGCCATCTGGACACCCTTTGGTACAAAGGAGACGCTCCGGGTTGGGCAACCCCGGGAGCCCCTGACCCTGAAGGCTGGACAACACATATCTTCTGCACATTCTGCTTGATGGGAATATAGAGGAAGGTGGGATCTGTACGTTCTCAAGATAGTGATTAACAGGGGCATTCAGGGTGTGCATGCACAAATTAATGCGGCGTCACCCTGGAAATGAAAATGGAAATGAGACGAGGTCACACAGCCTGTTTCGAGAAGAGATTATCTTCTGCCTAGGGGACAGAATGCCGTACCTTGGGCTCTGGTGAGAGGCTTCTGGTCACCCTGAAACATCAGCCTTTCTAGAACCATTTGTTCCTGGTCAGGTTTCTTTTAAAAGTGGGTATATGGAGAGAGTGAGAGAGAGAGAGAAGGAGGGAGGGAGAGAGCGAGAGAGGGAGAGAGGGAACCTCAGTTAGGAAAAGAGACATCATAACAAAAAGTTCCTCTTTGTTTATTTTTAATCTGAACCCAAAGTTGAGAGGGAGCTGAGAAGAAGCACTGGTCAGGGAGAACGTTCCAAGGCCAGAGTCTGCTACGGCAAGTGGAACACATATAAAAACCTGAAGGTGTTCGGGCAGCAGGCCAGAAAGCGATTTTGAAAAGTTGCAGTGATAGCTTTATATCACACACACATGCATGCACACACATACACACCTCACATGCACATTTATTTTGAACCGGTTCTGTTAAACAATGAGCTGAAGCATATTAAAATTTTAAGAATTTATTTAAGCAAAAACCAATTAGAAGCAGTCAGTGCCAAACTGGAAGTGTTTAGGAGTGCTGCACCTGCAGGAGCCAGGGGAAAGACTTCTATAGAGAAGGGGAGGAAGCAAAGCAAAGCAATTATTTGAATGGCTGCAGCTTAGAGCCTAGCTGGATGTTGGTGATATGTCATCCATAAATATGGATGTTTTGGGTTTTTTGTTTTGTTTTTTTTGTAACCTCGCAGCATTTACAGGCTTCGATTTTGGTTTGCTTATATAGGCCTCTGGCCCTAAGGCCACCTCAGGTAATGGCCTCCTTGTTTAATTAACTGAACAGTTCTCTACTTACTGGAGGAGTTGCAAGATCAAGTGTCACACTTGTCTCTGTTGTGTCCAGACAGCATCTTTGCACCAGTTGTCCTGTCTTTTCCTAATCTTGTGCTATATGGAATTATTCCCTAGGGGTTCCTCTTCTTTCCTGATTTTGGCACTTTTTAAGATGATAGGTCCGCCACTTTTAGAATACCCTCCAGTTTGGGTTTGTTAAAAGGTAATTCGTTACAGGTGATTTTTAGGAAGAGATAAAAGCATGGCCCTCATACAGATACAAAACTGAACATGTGTTAAAACAATTTTACTCCTGTGATATGAGGGAACGAGGCAGATGTTTTAACGGTTTCAAAGGAAAAGTCAAAAGGGCACCAATTTATATGGAGCAAAGGGATGTTGAAATGAATCGCAAATGGAAGCAAAACTGGATTTTTATCTGCAAGGAGGAAGTCCATTAAAACACTACAAGATGGGACAGAATGTACATATTCACCAGTTACCTACAACTTAGAGACAACCGGGCTGGCATCTGATAACTCAGAAGAGTACGCACAGTTTCCCGTTGGAACAGTTTTTTTTTTTTTTCCCCTACAGGTTTATCCTGTATTGTTTTCTTGTGGTAAACCTATATTTATATACGTCTTTGGCTGGAATATTACTGATGCTTATGGTTTTCTTCATTGCATCCTGTGGATGACACACGATGTCCGTGTGTCTTATTACTGGTGTTCACTTTGACCACTTAAGAGAGCGCCTTCCAGGTGTTTCTACCATAACATGTATACCCCACTTTGTAATTTATAAATAATTTTGGAGTAGTTACAGGATGGAGGACAGAAAACAGTACAAATCAGGTTTGTGTGTTTCCCCCGAGAGATTGGGCTCTGCAACAATACCAGCATATGCCACTCTTTGAAACAACGGGGACTCATTCAGTTCTGTTTAATTCAGTAAGCTGTGATCTGTCACCGTTATTTATTTTGGTGTTTGGTCTGTCCCAGATTTGGCTGTGGAAGCTTCAAGCAGCCTTCTGTGCCCTTCTGACCTGTCTCCCATTACTCTTTGAGCATTTCGTTCCTTTCTGGCTCCGTGAGCTGTTCCAGGCTTATCTAGAGCTTTCCTCGCTGCAGTCCTGGCGGGAGTCATTTCTACAAGGAGCCCAGTTCCTTTTAGTGGACAGTGGTGTTCGGCCCTTGCGAGAGGGCCCAACTTCTGCTCAGGTCTGCCTCCCTGTGGTTGGTCGGTCACCTACTACTTTCACCCTGCCCAGTGGCTTTTTGAAGGAGGGAGGGAAGGAAGGTTGTATTTTTTCCCCCCCCCAAAGGCAGGTAAAGGAGGGGGATGGGAGGAGGAAGAAGAAGATGGCTATATACATTTTTATCCTCCCTCCCCCAACACCCTTTCCCACCTCCCCTGACTTACCAGAGACAAGATCTGATCTCCTTGTGGTCAGTTAGGTTTCTGAAGTGGTTACATTTTATGTGGATGAAAATGAAACTTCACTTCATCTGAAGAGCTAAACCATTCATCTACTACTTATTGAGTATCTACTCTGCCTACGCCTGACATTATAGTACTCAGTCACCGGGCTAAGCCCCTGCCTTCAGGAAGCTGGAAGGACAGTGAGGTGTCCTACCTAAGTCATACTACAGCTAATATTTCTCTCAGCGAGTGCAGGTGTGAGTGCCACCCTCAGTCTGGTCAAGGAAGGGAAATCAGAGGTCAGGAAGGCTTCCCAGAGGAGCCTAGAATCTGGGGAGTTTGGAGTCGAACTTAGCTAGTTGGACAAGCTGGTTAGAGCGGAAGGGTATTCAAAACAGAGGGAAGAACATACTTAATGCCAGAGAAATTTGGCAGACTGGAGGGATGGGAAGTGGTTTGATGGGATGAACATCACTTGTTTCCTTATCTTCTTGACTGCAGTTTTTTAAGAAACATAGTTGTCCTTTCTTGCAGATGAGATTTGTCCATTTTTTTTTTTTTTTTGCAGGCTGCCATCACAGAGTTCCATCTGTTGTCCAAGACTATTGCAGTATCTTGTGATGTCTTCCCTGCAAAGAGGCAGTCTTTTCTCAAGAAAGGGCAAAGTAGAATTAGTGAGAATTTTCCCAAAGAAAGATAATCAATTATTTATTCACTGTTGAGATTATACTTAAGAACTGGTCTAGTGTCTTTTTTTTTTTTCATTAAAAATATGCCCAGTCTTATATCTAGGGATTTTCTCCCCATTGAACATATGCCCACTCTGATCCAAATGGAGTGTTCTGGTTGCCTTTACTCTTAAGTAAATGCAATGGTTTGGTTACAGTGGTTTAAACCCTGTCTTTTGATTGTTTCTTATCAGTGGGGAACACCAGTTTATTACTTTGAATAATGTTTTGAAATGAATAAAGTCCTTTACATCATGGCAGTTAAATCTCCCCTATATCTAATCCTGAGCTTTCTTCAAGATATGTTCTTTGTGTAAAAATTATTGCTTTCAAACAAGCTCCTCATATGGTTTTTTTCAAATTTTGCAGACGATACCAGAAATTGCAGAAGATCATGAAGCCTTGGTAAGAATTTATGATCAATTAATATAGATGATGTAACACTTCCTTCTTCTCTGCATAATTAAACCCTGTCCTCCGACTTACTGTATAGCTATGCATCTAGATATTTTGAGTAAGTGGTTTTCTTTGCTTGTTTGATGTTCTTATTAATTGGTTCTTCAAAAATTTATTCCCCCCCTTTTTTTGCTTGGTGGTAGAAAAGATATTTTATGTTTGTAGCCACAAAATAATTACATCAGAATTACTATCCTTCTCCTGGAGCAAGGCTAGGCATAATTTTATATATTACTTTAAACAAAACTTCCTTTTTTGTGGCCTATGTGATGTTCAAAGTTAAAAGTCTTTGATTTTATTCAATGGCTCAGTATGAAAAAGATGCACATTAAAAAAAACATTCAGGATTGAAGTATGGTATGAAAATTATTTACTCGGAGTCTTAGAAAGTGTTCAGTCACCTATCAAGTGAATTGCATGATAATTGTGTCTGGAGATCTCAGAACTTCTTCCTCAGAGTTTTTCCTCCTCAGTGCCTTTCTTATCCACTGAACCAGGTGAGTCCAAATAGGGTCTAACAAACTCTACAGTAGGCGGAACAAATTTCCATTTTGCCAAGTTGTTAAGCAGATAATTTCAATTTGAGAAGCAAGACTGAACAGCATCTGAAAATGTGCACCTTATTTTTTCAGTCCTCAGAGAAAATTCCAATTGCCTTCAGTGTATTAATACTGGTTTCAGTCATTCATCTTCCCCTACCCTTCCCACATAGAAAAAAAGTATATACTCCTTAGTTATTAAATCCTGATAAAGTAAAAAGCACTATTGAGTTTTGAGGGTAAAATTTTTTAAATGTTCTTTCGATATATATATTTAATATAATAGACACACTTAATGGTAATGGCAGCAGAAGCCCTCTTTTATGAGAGTTTGTTCTGGGCGCTGTCTCAGTGTTTACACTCATTACTTTTAATTCACACTGGTGAATTAAAAATTACTGCACAAGATCAGTATAATGAGTATTATTTCCTTGATACAGAAGTTAAAATCAGGTGGTGGAGCTGGGACTCAAACTGAGTTTTTCTCTAACAACCTCATGTGATTTGCTGATGTCGAGGAGTTTGGGGGCTCTGAAGCCAAAATAATTTCTTAAAATTTATCTGCCAATAGTTTTAATCTTTTGGTATGTAGGGATGCTGGAAGTGTGACTACATGTGAACCATGATTTTCATTTATCAGACATAGACAAAATCAGTGTTCAGGGCCTTCATTCTGATAATGGTAGACTATCTTATTTAGACTAATACAGATAACAATTATAAAATCCGGACAAAGTAATGTAAACAAAAACAGCAAAAACAACTGCTTGAAGGAACTGGATAGCAACCCAAAGTAGGAAGAGGGAGGTCAATCCTCAGAAGAACAAATGGGCCTCAGATGAGATTTGTGTGTTCGTAGCTTTTGCCTGAAGATACCTGCTCATCCAGTTAGCATGGGGTGGCTGAAAGCCTTAGTCTTGGTAAGTTGCTAAGAAGATATAGTTTGGGACTGACAGAGCAACTACCTTGTGGGGTGGGGGGGGACTCCATGAAAGAAGGGAAGCTCAGAGGATATGAGACCCTGTATCTACATATCTATTTATAACCACCTATAAAATCAGCCCAAATCAGTAGTGTGAATGTACATGTGTGTGAGTGTGTATGTGTATGTGTGTGAGAACCCCAAAGGGCCTGGTAAAAATAGCAACTGGAATTGGAAAGAATTGAGGAGAGATTTAAATTGCCACTCACTACAGAATTTGGAGTTTGATTCTAGCTAGGTTTTTTTCTGCTTTAACAAAACACTCTTCAGAAGAACAAAACTGGGTGTTGAGACTTGGGAGTCTTTTATTCCCAATGTTCAGAATACAATAAAAAAATTCTTAAGAAAAAAAATAAAGCAAGTAGTAGAAGCTGAGCCTGAGATGACCCAGGTGTTGGAATTAGCAAATGAAGATTTTATTTTTTATTTTTTATTTATTTTTTTTAAAGATTTTATTTATTCACTTGACAGAGAGAGACACAGCGAGAGCGGGAACACAAGCAGGGGGAGTGGGAGAGGGAGAAGCAGGCTTCCCGCTGAGCAGGGAGCCCGACGTGGGGCTCGATCCCAGGACCCTGGGATCATGACCCGAGCCGAAAGCAGACGCTTAACGACTGAGCCACCCAGGCGCCCCAGCAAATGAAGATTTTAAAGAATGTTTATAAATATATTAGAAGAAAAAAGTATTAGTATACTGCGTGCACAGTTGAAAAGTCTTAGCAGAGAAATGGAAACCATAAAAAATAGCCAATTGAAAATTATAAAACTGAAAAGTATAATATTTAAAATGAAAAATTCACTGTATGGGAGTTGAAGATGTCAGAAGAGATAGTAACCTTGAAGATGTATCAGTACAAATTGCTCATTCCAAAGAATGGATGAAATTAATAGTGAGTAATTGATGTGTGAGATGGTAACATTTAATTGGGGTCTCAGAAAGAGAGGAAAGAGAGAATGAGGCAGAAAAATATTTAAGGAAATAATGCCAGTTTCCAAAATTTGTTGAAAAACATAAATTTATAGAGCTAAGAATTTCAGTGATCCTAAGTGGGATAAATAGAAAGAAAGCTATTATCTGGAAACATTGTAGTCAAACTTCTGAAATTTAAGGATTTATTTATTTATTCATTCACTCAGAGAGATTGAGCATGAGCTGGGGGGGCGGGGGGCGAGGGGGAAGAGAAGGGCAGAGGGAGAGAGAAAATCCCAAGCAGACACTCTGTTGAGTGTGGAACCAGACACTGGGCTCAAGCCTACAACCCTGAGATCATGACCTGAGCCCAAACCAAGAGTTGGACCCTTAACCGACTGAGCCACCCAGTTGCCCCCAATGCAATATGATTTTTTATTTTTTTTATTTTTTAATTTTTTTTTTAAAGATTTATTTATTTGACAGAGAGAGACACAGCAAGAGAGGAAACACAAGCAGGGGGAGTGGGAGAGGGAGAAGCAGGCTTCCCGCCGAGCAGGGAGCCCAATGCGGGGCTCGATCCCAGGACCCTGGGATCATGACCTGAGCCGAAGGCAGACGCTTAACTGACTGAGCCACCCAGGCGCCCCACAATATGATTTTTTAAAAATGAAATTGCAACCAATCCTAAAATGTAAGGGAAATGTATAGGACCTAGAATAGCCTAAACAGTCTTGAAAAAGCAACAAAGATGAACCAAGTTGGAGGATTTCATTAACTGACTTCAAACTTACTATAAAGTCATAAACACAGTGTGATATTGGTATAAGGGGATAGACAGATCAAAGGAATAGAATAGAGTCCAGAACTGATTCGCAGTTAAATTTTTAAGGCGCCGAAAGGACGTTTGCACACGTAAGTCATGCTATGAATCTGAAGGCCAAGGGAATGTCTAAAGGGTGGTTTAGAAATGTATAATCTTTTATGTATATAATTTTTACCCCATACAACAGATAACATTTGGAAAAATTTAAAGGGCAGGGCAGAACTATATTCATTAACTTTAGGAATTAAGGATATATTGAGTATGATTTACTGGTAACTATAAAAGTGGCCTTTACTTGCATCTTTCTCCCCTTCTGCCCTGGGCATGGCACCCAGTCGAAACATTTGGAAGCACTGCTCTTTTATAAATTTATCAGCTTATATTTGAAATGCTTTTGAGATTGGCTGAATTTAGTTGGAAGGAAGATGGTCTCTACTGAGTTGATGAGAAACATTTATTTGAATCATTCCAGCACACATGGCGTGTTGGCTGTGACAGGGCTCTCAACCAGAATGTAAAGTTTGCAGTCGGCTTAATTTGTGGCAGTCAGTACTGCGAAATCTTTAGCTTAGCACTTTATAAAAAAACAAATAAAGCAAACAAATAAAAGTGCTCCCGCGTGTGCCATGTGGTTGCTTTATACTAGTAACCCGTTTAGCCTTGATCTTGTGCACATGGCATTGACTTCAGAAAGAGAGCCTTGGATCCTGCCTTTGTCTCTGGAGCCTCAGTCTCTCCTCTAGGAGTGAGAGTAAACATCTATGTCGGGGTTCGATAAGGGCTTTTATAGCTGCATCATTTGAAATTAGATGATTGAGTCCCTTGACTTGGAACATAGTAAGATTTTAGCATGGCCATCTTCTCTTTGCAGTTGAGGGTTTGAGGTTGAGTTTAAAAAAAAATTCCTCTTGTGGAAACCTAGTATGCCATCTAGCAACCAGTCACAGTGACTTATATTTATCTTATATATGCACTATATATATATAAGTATATATGTGCATGTGTATATTTTTATAATATAATAGATAATGTAACACACATATGTTTAATAACATCTTTGTTATATATAATATAAAATAGAATTATATGGTCTAATAACATATGCGATATATTTTAAAATATGTATATAAATAAAATGTTGTTACATAATATTTCTATAAAATATGAATATAAATAATACAACATTTATATAAAATGTTATTAGATGGACCAAGGGAGCGATCCCTGCTCTGGGCACCTTGGTGTGTGACATGGAAGAAGCTTCTCTCACTTACCCATGAGTCACATTCATAGATGACCGCAAAGCACGGAAAGGCCTACCTGCAGTTGCAGAAATGGTGCTTCATCTCCGTCGCAACCATGGAGATGGAAATCCTGGCCCCAGAAGCAAAGCTTGGAGATTTGGAAACCAAATGATACTTTCTCTTTCTCTCCATCTTCCCTCCCAAGTCCTTGCAGCCTGTCTTTGTAGTCCAGTGGGCAGAGTTCTAGAGCATTTGAGGAAGCGGGACAATCCCTAGGGGTTACTAACGCCACTTGGATTATGGGCCTCTCAAGTGGGGAACAGAGTCATTTTGCCTTCGGATAATTAGAGAGCATAAATATAACTTATTTTTTTGCAGGGGGTGGTGCCTGGGTGGCTCAGTTGGTTAAGCATCTTCCTTCAGCTCAAGTCATAATCCCAGGGTCCTGGGACTGAGCCCTGCAGTGGGCTCCCTGCTCGGCGGGGAGTCTGCTTCTCCCTCTGTCCCTCCCTCACCCCCACTCGTGCGCTTGCTCTCTCTCTCTCTTTCTCAAAAATAAATAAAATCCTAAAAAAAATAAATATAACTTATTTTTTGTTTCTAAAGCAGTAAAGGAAGACTAGCACCATCTCTGTTCTCAGTCTCCACTAGCTCCCGGGGATATAAAGAAGAGTTTGATGGCAGTAGCGTGTGCTTTTCTTTGTCACTGTCTGTTTCATGCTTGTACTGTGAGTGACAACATGAGGCCGTGTTTGTGCTGAATGGAGCTGTGGGTGCCGATCTCCAATGTCATTTACGTGGCAGTCTTTTAGCGGTTAAGGTCTTTTAACTTGCCAGGTGTAAGCAAATGGCAATGATTAGTTACCATATGCTTGTTTTCCCCCTTTTTAAGCTAAAAGGAAAATAAATTAGCTAATAGTGGTTATTACTAATGCTATAATAAAATAATACATTAGCTAATTTGTTTACTATGAATACTATACATTATCATGTAGTAACATTCTCACAGTAATACTCATGCCAACACACTTTATTAATAAATCTTACTAATTGCTTTTATACCTGACTCTCTTATTTTCCTGAGGCAGTTTCCCTTTTTTTGTTTGTTTGTTTGTGTTATTTTTCCCCCACAATCTGACGTCTGGATTTTCTTGTGATTCATTGTAGAGAGTCGTTCCTGGATTTTTTTTTTTTAACCTTTCTTGCTACTCTTTTTAACCCATTTTTCATCTTTCTACTCTTCATATATTCTCCTTCAAGTAAGTTTGGGTTTTCTGGTATGGAATTTATTTTGGGGAGCATGCCACCTAGGGAGCCCCTGTGAGATTGGTATTGCTAGTCTGTGACTCAGAGAAGCCTTTAAAAAAAGTATTTCTGGCCTGAATTGTTTGGCTTTCCTTGCTTCCCACCCCCCACCCCCGGCTCCAAGGACAGAGAGTCCTTGACACTACGAAGGCAAACATTTGAAGATCGTGGACTCCGTTGACCTTTCTAGAAGATCACTTTTACGTAATGGTCATAGCTAACACTCGCATGTTGCCACCCTGCGGGAAGAGCTTGAAGTGAGGTAGCTTGTTCTGTTCCCCCCAGAAATCCCCAGTAGAGTATCCCCACCACCACCACCGTCACTTTTAATAAGGAAGGAGACTGAGGCCCGGCATGCGTCAGTAACTTGCCCACTGAGCGCTGGAGATGAAACTGCTGTCTCGCTCCAGACACCATCCATGTAACGCTGTCTACATGTTGCATCGCATCCTCTCTGATCTCTGGTAGCTTCGGATCACGGTCTTCCCCTGAGAGCCTCACAGCCTCTGAAGTGATGCACAATTCCCAAGGTTGTTCCTGAGGCTGGGCTGAGAGCCCTGGCAAGAAGGAAAGTTAGGAAGCTGTTTTCTATTCTGTTAGCTGAAAATAGATGGGAAGGTTCAGTCTAAACATTCCATGAGCCTTTGTAGCAGAGCAGTTGTGGTATGTAGGAGTCTAGAGATTCAAAATCTGAACAACCAACTTTATTTTTTTTTAATCAAGCACACGTGTCTGTGAGGTTGCACACAGTGCAGAAATCCTGATGGGCCTCATTCAGGGTGCTTAGAGAGAGTACTTATCTTGAGAGTTAACATTTATTATGATGATAATTTGCAGTAGAGGTGAGTTTCCCTAAAAGATTCTGAGGGTCTGGTAAGTGTTGTTTTGAGAGCATTAGAAACCAGGATATTGTCTGATCAGGGACATGGGTGGAGCTGTTTTAAAAGGACAGTGCTTTTGCCTGAGTGGGTCTGATCTCTGCTCTGTTTTCTAACCCACACGTTAGACCCTCCCGACAGCCTTCCAAATCACAGCAACGGTGTGGCCAGCAAATAATTATTTTCACAGATGTTCTATAATAAAGATAAAATGCTGGCCAGTGTAACATAGAAATGAATATGCTTACTTACATATATATTTGTATCTATGTGTGTAAGTCTTCACCCAAACACACACACACACACGGACCACTCAGATCCTCGGCAAGGTGCTAATACTCTTACTGGAATTATTTCTAATCATTAGATACCCATGAATAATAAAAGAAGCACATTGCCCTCTCTTGGCTGAGACATCTTTCTTTGAGCTCTCATTTACTGAATGCTTATGTGCTACGCATGTTATTAAGGGCAGTACAGGCAGCCCTGTGTTAACCAGGTGTCACTCTTCAGTTTTCAGCTGGGAAGACAGAGGCCCAGAGAGATTAGGGAATAGCCCAGTGTGACATAGCTCACCAGAGTGAGAGTCAGTACGAGTCCAGGTCTGTCCCACTGAGGCCCCGGCTTTCTTTGTAAAGCCCACCTGCCTCCTTCCCGTTGGCTCACATTTTTGAGGAAGTTTCCTGTGGCCCAGCTGCCTCTCTTAGTGATCTTTGACAGTTCTGTTGTATTCACTCTTCTAAAGCTTTCTCACTTCTGTGCCTGTCCTTGGGCTTAGCTCTTGGGCCCATCTCCATTAATCCCCTTTGTGTTTTCCAGCTTTGGAGACATGCTGTCCTTCACCCTGACGGCCTTTGTTGAGCTGATGGACCACGGAATAGTGTCCTGGGATACGTTTTCAGTGGCATTTATTAAGAAGGTAATGCAGATTGTGCTTTTCTAAGGCTTAAATTACTTTCATAGATATTTTGCTCTGCTTTGAAGCTACTGTGTTGTTGTTTCCTTTAGTTCTTTGTGTTAAAGGTAGGTGCGGTTGTTGAGAGTATTATGAATGTGGGGGTCTAGGCGCCTAAATCCTATGTGGAGATGACATTGTCTCCCCACCAGGATCATAAGGGCTTGCACGTGAGAACCCACAGTCAAGGGACATCAAGGTGTCCTGTTAATACCACAGAAGCAGTCCCTGTGGATTCCCTGTCCAGGACTTGGTTGTTCTCGAGACCCAAGTAGAGTTCCTTCTGTCCTTTGTAAACCTTCTGCCCTCAATCAGGTATTCAGGGAACAGGAAAGAGGCAGAGTATATTGATTTCCTACATGCCTGGGTTTAAAGCAGTGATGTAAGAGAAGGGGGTGTGCTTGGGTTCAGTTCATCTTAGGTTGAGCCCACTTACTTGTAATCACGGTGCAATAAATGTCTCTGGGATCCGTTCCTCCTCCTTTAGGAGGAAGCTAATAAAGGGATGGGAAAGGTGGATTTGGTGTGGGAGCAGAGGGCACAAGAGCCCCCACCATGCCCTGCAGTTGCATTGTATAAAGGCACATCTGCAAACTTACAATTCTGTTTCTAGTCTTCAAACAACAGATAAATAGTCCTGCCTTGATAACTCTTAAATATGGCATTAAATAATGGATTATTATTACTTATTAATTTGTTAATTTATTTTTCCTCTCTCTGTAATTGTGAAATTGTTTATAAGAGTATTGGCATTTTCTTCCTATTATTGTATTGGGAGCGAAGAGATGTTTGGAATTCATAAATTTATTTTATAAGTATAGATTTCTGGGAAGGGTTGTTTAAAATAAAGACTTTTAGAGAATCTGTGCAAAAGCTGGAAAGTCAAAGGAAAATCCAGAAAAGTCACTTGAATTTTTTAAAACTTTTTTTCTTTTTTTTTTAAAGATTTTATTTATTTATTTGACAGAGAGAGACACAGCAAGAGAGAGAGAGAAAGAGAGAGAGCACAAGCAGGGGGAGCGGCAGGCAGAGGGAGGCGGAAAAGCAGGCTTCCCTCGGAGCAGGGAGCCCAATGCAGGGCTCGATCCCAGGACCCTGGGATCATGATCTGAGCTGAAGTCAGATGCTTAACAGACTAAGCCACCCAGGGGCCCCAAATTCTTTAAACCTTTTATGTTGAAATCACATGGACTTACAGAAAAGTTGCACAAAGTAGTACAGAACATTCCCATATGCCCTTCATCCAGCTTCCCCTAGGTTCACATTTTGCATAATGATGGTACAATGAACAGTGGTGTGATACCATTACCATTATTTGATTTCACCATTTTTTCTACTAATGTCCCTTGTCTGGTTAAGGACCCGATCCAGGATCCCACATTGCATTTAGTTTTCATGCCTCCTTAGTGCCTTCCGATCTGACAGTTCCTCTGTTTTTCCTGGTCTTCCATGACTTTGACAGTTTTGAAGAGTACTGGTCAGTTGTTTTGTAGAATGTCCCTCAATTTGGACTTGTTTGATATTTGATGGTTAAATTAAGGTGATGCATTTTTGGCAAGAATACCAGAGAAGTGATATTGTGTCCTGTCAGCATATCGTATCAGGGTACATGAAGTCGATACGTGTTAGTAATGGCGATGTTGACTTGGATTATGTGGTTGAGGTGGTATCTGCTGGGTCCCCTCACTGTGAAGTTACTCCTTCTCCTTTTGAAGTTAATCCGTATCTTGAGGGAGGTACTGCCTTGAATTGAAAGGTACAGGAGAGCCCCTAACCTGTCGAGTGAGGGTGTTGGGAACGGAAGCCCCACAGATTGGATGCTTGTACGATGTTGCATATGAATTTCAGACAAGAGCTGATCAGGAACCCAGGGCCTTCCCGACAGACCTCTGAATTCTCTTTCCTTATGTAAGGGCATAAAGCCAAAGGAGCTGACTAATGGGAACCACTAGAAAAGGAACCTCTTTTTGCCTGTATCAGTCAGTGGTACGAATTGCTGAAGAGAAAAGAAACATTTGTAGATGGGAAAGCCAAGGAAATGGAATCCGTAAATTATAAATGTGAAGAGCAAACTGTGGTGTTCTGTCCTTCTAGGCTAAAAGATCTAGGGAAGTAAGTTCAAATCTGAAGACACTGAGCTTTGTGGATCTTTCATACTTAACAAAAAATTTTAACTCATTCTGGATTGACGGCAGGCCTTTCTTTCCTACATCCCAATTGCCTCGCTTGTCTGTTGTTAGAGCCTCTTTTCTCTAAAAACAATGCTGTCCTGAATGCGAATTCCTTGAAGTTGTGTTGTGCTTTCCTCCATGTATCTCTCTTGCTTTTAAAAGATTTTATTTATTTATTTCACACACACACACACACACACACACACACACACAGAGGAGAGAACACAAGCAGGGGGAGCAGCAGAGGGAGAGGGAGAAGCAGGCTCCCGCTGAGCAGGTAGCCTGATGTGGGACTTGATCCCAGGACCCTGAGATCATGACCTGAGCTAAAGGAAGATGCTTAACCGACTGAGCCACCCAGGCACCCCCATCTACAATATCTCTTTTGATCTCACAGCAATCCTTTCCAGAACAGAACAGGCTGTCTTGCTACTCCTGGCCAGGAGGCGAGGATGCAGTCAGTGGCTTGGGGCGGTTAAGTGATGTCATAGGGAGAGGAGCGTCATCAGTCCCATGGTTAAGGGTTTCTTCCCCCCATCTCATGCACCTGTGCTTTCAAGTGGTGGAAAAAATAGCTCCAGAAGACTTGTTGAACCAGCATCACCTCTGTCAGCCCTCCCCGACCTCACTGGTACGGAGTTAAGTGATTTCTTCTGCTCTCCATTCTCCTTGGATCTTGCGTGTGCCCCTGTGCTTACACTTACCACATTCTGTGGATTCTTTGTTCTTTTTACTGGCTCCTGCTAGACCATGAGTTACAGGGAGCTGGAACCACAGCTTTCCGCATGACTGTATCCTCGGGGCCTGGCACAGAGTAAGACGTTAATACATTTCTGTGAAATGAATGAATGAAATTTGTTTCGGAAGCATTTTTTTTTTTTAAACCCTAGCACTTGAGGAAGAGAAGGAATATAGTGACATTGTATTTAAATATATTTCAAGTCAAATTTCAGTCACGAATGGAAAGAAATTACAAAACTCTTTCATTAAATGATGTGAGAAGGGGTTAGAGAGAATGACAATAATTTAATATCTGACTACTTAAGAAAATGGTTTCCACTCACTGAAATTAAATAAAAAAAATCTAAGGAAGCAAACACTAGCAGTCTTGGCAGTTTAAATAAAAAATTAAATGTTTTCTCAAAAGGCAATACATTTAATGAATCTCATGTTCTCATTCCTGGTCATTCTCTTTCCTTTGCGTTGCTACTTAGATCTCAGTCCCTTATGTGAATCTGAGAAATGGTCATCAGAAAATGACTTTATAATTGATAGTTTTTGTAAGGTTAATTTTTTTTTTCATTAGCTGTTTCAAATTCAGCTCTTAGACAACCCAGGAATTGTATGCAGGCAACTGTCTTTTAAATGGAGCTTTATCTCGACAAAACTCAACTAGGAAATGCACTGACAAAAGATGCTTATCTCTGTGGTCCAGACTTGGCTTCCTATTAATGCCAAATTCATACTTGGAGAAATATTTTTTCCCCGCCAGCCCCTGTCTTCTTCCTTACTATCTGTTTTCTTATGTGCGGATCTAGATTCTAGTTTACAAACTTTGTCTGCAATAAGTAACATCATTTCATAAACATTTTGAAACATGGAATCCCTTGATGCTAATATCTAATGTTTCGTTTTAAAGACTTGCTGCTTAGGGAGAGGGTAGGAAGGTATGGAGAAGAAAGGAAGGGAAAAAAACCCAAACAAAATAAAACAACACACGCAAAACAACTAGAACTTTCTGTATTACGATTTGGTTTTCCCCTAGCCAAGTAAAACACCAGTGCCTTTTCTTGGAAGGCGTGTTTCATATAAATGTTCTTGCAGCCGTTGCTCTACAGGAGGGTCTGGATCACCCTGCAGTGTTCTCCGTGCCTGGATGAACATCCAGCCAGTTCAGCATGCAGACCCAGTAATTTTTACCTCTTAAAAACTTGAGAGATTTATGGGCCGCTGCCCAGATAATTTAAAATACAACAGTGGAGCTGCATGTTCTCTATGGTTCTTTCCAGTTTTGATAGCATGGAAGAATTTTAAGATCTCATTCTAAGTTATTCTAAGAAGTGTTTATGTGCTTTTAATAGTTTGTGTCATTGATTCATGCACTGATGCCCCTTGGCCTCTAAGAAGCCATGCAAATACTTCTCGTATTATTTAGGTAACATTTTTAAATGACTGGAAACATGTGGAGGTAGTATATATAACTATTGCTAACTCTTCCCTCTTCTTTCTTGTGGTACAGACTTACTTTCACGCAGCTGTGCTTTGGCTTAGCCTGGCTTACCTGTGTCAGCCGAAAGTGCAGTCATGGAGCCAAGAATAGTCTAAGGGCAAAGAAAGTCATTACTGATTTTTTTGGGGGGTGGAGGGAGATGGGAGAAATGAAAATTTAACCAGAAAATATTTAATGCTCTGTAACTATACTAAGATCAATTGTTTTCAAAATAGACATAGAAAATAGCATTTGTATTTTGGCAGACTTGTACGTGTGCTGATAAGGTGCCTCGGTCATTATGTTCACTCAGCACTGATGCCTTGGTTATAAGTACTTATTAGATGACAATATTGGGTCCTTTAAATGTCTGCCTAGAACAACTGACACGTAAAGACAAAAGATAGAAGTTAGTTTAAAAACGCCACTAATGGGACACCCGGGTGGCTCCGTTGGTTAAGCATCTGTCTTCTGCTCAGGTCATGATCCTGGAGTCCCGGGATCGAGTCCCACATCGGGCTCCTTGCTCAGTGGGGAGCCGGCTTCTCCCTCGGCCTGCTGCTCACCCCCTGCCTGTGCTTCCTCTCTCTCTCTCTCTCATCCTCACAAATAAATAAATAAATAAATCTTTAAAAAAATAAAATAAAAATGCCACTAGTATCACCCACAGATTTGTACATAGGTCTCTAATGATTTGCCTGCCTGGCAGTACTCAGCTAAGTATGTTACAACAAAATGCTCCTGTAACCTGCATTAGGATTGTTGAAATGGTAGGTTCTATATGTCACAAAAGAGGTGAGCTAATAGGAAAGATTATCTTTGAAGAATATTTTGATGAAGGGAAGGGACTAGTTGTATGGGAGAGAAATATATAGAAATGGCAAATGGAAATGGAATATGTATGTGGAATTCAAATATGCCTGAAATAAAGCAAAGACCACAAACTGTTTTACCAACATTGAGCAAGCCCCTTGGGAACATGACTGCCAATAATTTGTAGAAAACTTTATAACCCATTAGCAGAAGGTGTACTTTGTATCAGAAAACATTAAGAGTTCTGGTTGGATATTTTGAGAAAGGAAATAGTATAAAAAGGATATTTTTGGAAGTAGAGGATAACATTTTATTAGAGGGGAATCTTGAACAGAGAGGAAAGTGAAGAAGATGCTGATGCTGTCTTAGGGATCCAGGAGTGAGTTGGACTCTGGGCCAGGGTTGTGCTCGTACACCTGAATGCATACCAAAGGGGAAACCTCACAAATGGTTCATGGTTACAGAACATAGGGGCCTGGGACTATGAATCACTAATGATTATGGCAAACTTGGAAAAAGGTGATCTTCGAGAAAGGAGGATTAAGAAGACAGTGAGATTGGTTTTCACTGTTTCACCATTTAATTTTAGGCTTTGTTGGAATATCTAAATGGAATTATACTTTGGGATGCCAAGAATAAGCAATTAACGTACTTCATGGTAAATGCCTTTTTATCTCTCTGTCTTTGCTAGACTGTCAGGGCCTTGAAGTTCAACATCCTGTGGGTTTTGCTCATTTCTCTATTTCCAGATCCTAGGACAGTCTAAGCCTGTTTTGTGGCAGCCAACCAATACATATTATTTGGATGAGTGAGAAGAGGGTGTGAAGGCTGCAGGGTGGGGGAGGGAGTTTGACAGTCAGCTCTCAGGTGGAAGATTCTCCATGGAGCCTTAAAGGTACATCCACTTTGACTAAATGGGGACAAGAAAAGGAACATGGAAGACGGCATGAGTGCTGAGAAAATCAGAAGTATTGTCAACAAACTTCTGTGTGAGTTCTTCAGTTTTTTAATAAGTGCCGGGAATTGTGCTGGAATAATGGAAAATGGTGGAGGAGGTGTTGGTGAGGAAGTTGAGGAATTGACATTCTGTTTAGCAGAGGTCTAAAGGAGGTGTTAAACCATGATCTCAGGATGAGGGGAATTGGATTTTTGTCAGAAAAAGATGGCCTTAGCTTGGTAGATTTGACAGAGGGGAGAGCAGACTGTGAAGATTAAGGCAAAGGCTTGCCAGGGACTGTAAACACATTGGAGAAGTTTATTAGCCATGAAAGGAGCTCAAGCAGCCTTTTGAGAATCTTAAAATTCTCATACACTTCCTGTACTTTATGTTATAAAATAATAGCTTTTTGGAATATAAAATCATCATGTTGCTATACTGCACTCCTTTCTATCATGTATTGCCCAGCCCTGAGATCCAGAGGTATCTGCGGGCAGAGAGGGTCTTGGTATTACACTGGCCACCCCTACTTCCAGCCGGGAGTCGTTAGCTAGAAACAGCGGACATGGTAACGGCAGTTTCCATGGGCACCTTTGCATTTTATCTTGTCCAAGGATGGAGAGGGGGGATGAGGAGAAGGGGTTGATGGGACAGCAGAAAGGAAGAAATCAGCGTCGCCAGGGGTTGGGGGGAGGGGGAAGAGAGCAAATGTCAGTCTGTCATGGAACCAAATTATTTAGTTTTTAAGAACACAGTCATTATGTTGATGTAATAACAGCCTTTTAGTGTGAGTTGTCAACAGACAGTAATAACTTTTAATGAGGCCTCTAAAATAAAACCTTTATGGTATCCATGTGTTTGGGTTAGTGTGATCCATTATTCTAACCCTTATTTTACTTCCCTCTTATGCTGTGATTTATTATGTTTGAGGCCTCAGTGATTAATTCCTTAGGGAATGTATTTTAGAGCTTAAGCTATTATTTTAACTTTTAGCACTGCTAATTTAAATGTTTTCCTGTTTGCTAAATTTGAGATGAGAAGAATTTATTTTAACCATAAGAAATTGGAATGGGGAAAAGAGTGTTTCATTGTGGAATAACCAGGAGAGTAGCCAGTGGCCGAGAAGTTGCCAGTTGAACTGCGTTGACAAGTGTGATTTGTGGGAGTCCCGTAAGGATGTAACAGGGTCATAATATGAGCATAAAAGTCATGCATCGTGTGGGTGAAGGAGTAGCCCGGGAATGGAAGGGAATGGCTATTAGTATATGTTGAAATTACTGCCTCAAAGAAACACAGGAATCCTTAAACTATATGTGTTGAAATCATCAGCCTCTGAAAGCTAAAACCGGGAAGAAAAATCCCAGAAAAACCAGACAATAATTCCTTGAAGCTGTCTCCTTTTTAGAATCGCTTATTACAGAATTATAGAAGTAAGATATAAATGGTGCTTTGTAATAATATGAGCAGTCATCGCTGACTTGATGCATTTCTTATGATTCTGCTGTAATTCCAGATACTTTTCATCCTGTGTCTGGTGTTTCTTGAGTGAGCTCCTGATTTCCTTGATTTGCTCCCTTCTGTACTTCTGTGCTCTGTTTACCGTGAGTGGTCAATTGTGTCCTCCTTGGATTTTCAGATAGCAAGTTTTGTCAACAAATCAGGCATGGACATCTCAATCCTACAGCGGTCCTTGGCCATTTTGGAGTCAATGGTGCTCAATAGCCACGACCTCTACCAGAAGGTGGCTCAGGAGATCACTATCGGCCAACTTATCCCACATCTTCAAGGGTAAGCATGCAGTTGCCTCCCATGTGAGAAGGGGAAATGATTCTGGTAGACAGCCACCATAAAGCCCTGGGAAAGGTTTTTGATTGGTTTGATTAAATATGCAGAAAAGGAATCTTGATTTGGCATCTAACCACACCATGTTACGTACCCATCCCCCACCACACTGATATGGCCCAGTGACTGGCCCCTTGGGGGGAGTGGGATCCCATGCCTGTTCTTGGCATCCTTCTGTCCCCAGTGCCTGGCTTTTTGTAGGCAATCAGTTCTGATGAATGTCGATAGATATCGGTAGAGTTTTACTTTTAACATCATAGGGCAATTTGCTGTCTTAAGTTCTCAACAGCATCTTTCCTTTGTCATTAAAAATAGTGTTTTCTGTGATACAATGAGTATTTTCATAGATAATTAGGAATTTTTCAAGGTAGGCTTCCTTCTTAGGCTCAAGGTGATTACAGTGACCCTCTTTTGTCTTTTCCAATGCATGTGTTTTATCTCTAGAGGCTTGAGCTAGAAGGCAAGGCACTTAGCAGCCTGCAGGCTTTGGGGCTCTTTTCCTTCTCTCCACTCAGGCAATTAGTAAGGTTGTCCCTGAGAAGGACACCTCTGTACAATGCTGCTTTATAAATTAAAGTATGTGGAGTTCCAGGTAGCAACAGCCCCCTGAGGTAGCTTACACAAACAGGGAGTTCATTGAAAGGATCCTGGGGGACTTTACAGAACCCAGGAATGACTTAAGTAGCTAAGCCTTGAGAAGGACAGAAACTGTGGCCTCCTTGGAGTGGTCACAACAGGCCTTTTCTCAAGTATACTGGTCGACACTAAGGTGACTTGTCTCCCAGTAACTGCCACTCCTGGTCTCTCAGGTCACATTTGCAAATTCTCAAGAGGAAATCTGATTGGCCTTTTGGGGTTGGGGATGTGGGCTGGGGATGTGAGAGAATATTCAGTAGTTCTCAGCATACCAAAAATGTTAACTGTTTATAATGCAAACCTACCAAAGTGCATTAGATGTTGCCTTCATTTAAGAGGGGGGAAGGTGACCGGAATGTAAAATTTTAAGTCACACAAGCTGTGGATTGTGGCCTCAGGGAAAATGAGCACATGCTCTAAAATGATGCTTTTGTGTGAAACCGCTCTAGAAATAATACCAGTTTCACATTTCCCTGAATGTGAAATGTATTAATTCTACAGTCTGTGTCTTTTCTCTGGATCTCGAGGGCATACTTGTGTGTTCACAGTGTGCTCTGCTAGAGTTGAGAGTTTCTAATTTGGCAAGTGCCGTGCTGAGGATTTTATATACATTAACTCATTTTACCCTAAAAGCAACACCTTAAAGTAAGTGTGTTCTTTCCCAGTGTTCCACATGAGGAAGCTGTTTTGGGGACACCCCCTGACCTCATGCAAGGCTACACAGCCAGCCTGCGGGGCACTGGGCTTTGGATTCCATCCTGCCAAAGGCTGTGTTCCACACTTAGCCTCTCCCTAAATCATCTCTGAATGTAGCTCACCGGCAGCTCTTTGTTTCTGCCTTGGGTCCTTCTTATTTACTGTTTACCTCGTGGCTTCTGTGAGATTTTTGCTTGCTTTGGAATTTCTGATCTCATTTCAGTGAAAAGCGAATTTGCAAATTTTAAAAATAAAAACTTGTTCTTTTTGTTATTAAAAAGTTTCTATTTGGAAATAGATTTTTAGAATATGTAATAGCATTGCCATGGAGACAAAGCAGTTTCCTTTGTAGTAAGTCCAGGAGTGTAGGGATACCCAAATCTGGTCCCAGATATACTTCATGCATCAGACAGATAATCATAGCCCCACACACACATATCCACATGTACAGCCCCTGGGTTCATGTATTTAAGCCTAACAGAGACGAAGGGGAGAGGAGGCTGACCACCTATACTTTCTGGGTGATCTGTGCTGAGCAGTGTATTGTCCAGGTAGTAATAGTAATTGTCCTCCCCCAATTGCGTTCCCTTCCTCATGATGGTTGAAATACATTCTCACTGGGCGCCTGGGTGGCTCAGTCGGTTAAGCGACTGCCTTCGGCTCAGGTCATGATCCTGGAGTCCCTGGATCGAGTCCCGCATCGGGCTCCCTGCTCGGCGGGGAGTCTGCTTCTCCCTCTGACCCTCCCCCCTCTCATGTGCTCTCTCTCATTCTCTCTCTCAAATAAATAAATAAAATCTTTAAAAAAAAAAAAAAAAGAAACACATTCTCACTTAGTTGCCAACTGCTTTTTCTAGGCCATGCCTCTCTCGCTCGTCTTTTTTTGGGGGAGATCATGACCCTTCCCATGGTCTGACTCAGAGGTAGCCTGTTTTGACTTTCTGTGCCATTCTGTCTTTACAGGACAGATCAGGAAATCCAAACCTATACCATTGCAGTGATTAATGCGCTTTTCCTGAAGGCCCCTGATGAGAGAAGGCAGGTAAGTTGCGTTTCTTTGGTCCTAAGACTGTACTCAGGGCTGGCAACTGTCGGGGCAGCGAGTGCCCGCTCCTTCCCATCCTGGGGATTCCTCAGGCCTCCCCGCTGCCCTGCAGCTTGGCTGGCCAGCCTAGGGTCATTCACAGATCCCGTGGGAAGTAGGTGGAGATGCTCAAGCCCTTGTCTGAGGAAGAATGCTAGGAATGCTCCAGGGGCAGAGCCCTTGCGTCCAGTGAAACCCAACATAGAAGCTTGAAACATAAGAAGATGAAAGCCTGGGGGAAGCAGAGGTGGAAGCTCCGAGATCTTCTGGCATGCCACTGAATGCTCCCTAGGGCGAGGGAGGTATTGTCCCTATTTTCCTGATGAAGACCCTGAGGCCCTGAGAGGTGTCCCGCTTAGCCCATGGAAGTTTAGATGGAAAGGACAGGAGGAAGGCCACAGAGTTCGCTGCCCCTGGTTGAGGTAACTGTTCCTAAGTCAGGGGGGCTCTTTGCTCCATGACATTTCTGTTGTCCATGTGCGTGTGTGGTGGTGGGGGGGGACTGAGCCACCCGTTTCCCTTCCTCTGTGCCCACAAGAGAAGGGAACCCCTTAAATGTACCCATGTGAAACCTATCCCTTGATACTCTCCTTTGTCCGTAGATCTTTGGTTCTTCTGCAGTGAGGTAAAGGGTCCTTGCAGAGGGGTGTGTGGAAGAAGTGGCATTTTGTGTGTCTTGGAATGTAGCTGGCCCCTCAGAATCCATTCATGGTTTTTTTTTTTTTTCCCCATCAACATAACATACTGTGTACCTTGGTCACACAATTCACTTCATTTAAAAACTGGGTGGAAATATGAGATCTTTCAACCAATAGAAAGTATACTGGGAGCTCTGTGACAGTTACCACTAAATTGTTGTAGAAGAATTTAGAAGCTAGTGTGCTACTGAACACTGAACACTAGAGAATTTCTTTTTTCTGTTTTATTTTTTCATTGCCAAGGATTTTAAACCTCAGTGACTAAACGTGAGGGTTTCTGGTTTGTTTTTCATTTAGAATTGTTTGCTCACTCCTTGGGGCTATGTTTGCACAATGAGTGGAGTGACTTTATTGTTTCCTGTGCATTGGGTTTGGTGTCGGGAGCCAGGAGTGGCCTGCCCTCCCTAAGCCTTATGCTCCAGGCTGGATTTTTAAGGGTGGTTTTGCAGGTGGAAGCCGAGGTGGGGCTGCTCTTTTTATATCTAAATCTAAATGCTGAGCTCATGATAACTTCTAGCAGCCCAGCAAATTGCTTGACAGAGCACACATATGCACGCCTGACATAGCCCTGGAGAAGCTTGATCGATCCTTCTACTGGCCAGACCAAGGACACCTGGCCGAACTGGTAGCTGAGAGTAGAGTGCGGGGCAAGAAGCCACCTGGTCTGACCTCATGGGCTTTTTCTTTTTCCTATGGAGGAGGAGTTTGGATTAGAGGAAGCAAAAACTCATGCCCACCCTAATTGCTATGATTTGGATCCCTGGATCTAGACATGAGTAAAATGCATACACTTTGCATCTTCCCGTTACACCAAGAACTACTGTTAATCTACTGAATTGGATTCGCATGACCACGGAAAAATAGGGGACCAGATGCCAATCTGTACTGACTCCAGAATAATGATTACCGTGAAACATAATGGCAGACCGGTATGACATTAGGTTTGGGTTCTGAGAATCAAATTTTATTTTTTGAAAATTAGACAGTATTTGACTGAGATGACATAGATTGGCAATATACTGCTGTAATGATAATAAATCACAAAGGGTAGTCTAATAACATTACATAATTTAAGAAAACAATCCAACTGAGAAAGGTAGAGTGTATATAATCATACAGCAGCATATCTAGACTCTGACTAATTTAGTCTTCGAAATAAAAATAGCAACAACACAGAAAATTAACTTGGACTTTATAAATTGTTTTGAATTGAAGATGAGTCAGGGACTATTGTTTGTCAAGAAAAGGAATATTTTGATTTTTAATTAAAAAAATATTTTTCAGTGAGTTAAGAGAGAGTTGGCTCTAAAAAACTAATTTCAAGTTCGTAATAAAGAAAAGTTTGATGTTATTTTCTGAAGGTTAGTGGAGCCTGTAAAGCAGAAGACCATGCTAATTGGGGGTATCATCTGGGTTATATTATGTATTGTTATCAGCTTTTCTTGTGGAAAATTAAACTTTCTGAATTTTTAAGATAAATAGGAAAATTTACCAAAGCCTGCCATCAGTGATGATATTCTAAGAGTTTGCCTTGCGCCAGGCTCAGTGTTCAGTGCTTTGTGTCTTATTTCATTTTATTTTCCTATCACTAGAAAGCCTTATTTTGCCTCTTTACAAATGAGGAAATTGAGAGTCAGAGGGAGTAAGGAACTTGATCTGATTGTTGAGCGGATCAGAGTCCCACCTAGGCCTTGATCTCCTCTGCAGAGAATCCCATTGGCCAGGAGGCGTCACCCAGAGAATTCTCTGGTATTTGCCGAGTGAAGAACTCCCTGGAGCCTGAAAGATACCAAGCCCGTTTTCTCACTCCAATTAAATTAAAACATAATCTAAACATTTATTTATTGGATTTACAGGAACAGCTTTGTTTTTTTAAAGCCTTAGGACATTGGATAAATTCCATTTCAGTGAAAAAATTTCATTTATTTCAACTTCTCTTCCTGACTTTGAACCAAACACATTGATAGGACTCTATTTATCTGGGCTTTATTTTTCAAAATGTATAAAATGAATTCGGACGGATTTTAAACACCTATTTCTGACTGAAGAAAAATACCACTGTGATCTTTTTACTTGGCAGGCAGACTGGAGTGATAATTCCGTTGTGCATTCATTGAGTGGGCCTTACTGAGAGAGTGCTGGGTTTGTAGAGGCCTGGGTTTGTTGAGGGCTGGGGTAACACTTCCTGCTTTGCCAAGGCGTCCTGGGGGCTTTCTGGTTGGGGGGGTGAGGGCAGGGATGCCCCGCTTCCCCCTGCCTCCTGGATGTGGGACATTCTCCCTTTCTCTGCACAAAAGAAGGGAAGGGGTGTTTGTTTTGTGGAGGTGAGGGCCAATGGATCCTTTTCCTTACAACTCCTTGCCATTATTTTACTGTTCTCATGGCAAACATGTTGGTGAGGTCTCTTCCAAATTTCTCTACAAATATTTATGATCTTCACAAACATTATTAAAAAACCTTTTTGCAAGTTAAAAGATTTGGTGCGAAAATCAGAAAATACAGATTCAAAAGAAGAAGTTTGAAAGACTCCTCTAAGTGCGTGCCCCAAACAGAACCCTTGCAACTAGTCACACTTTGCATGGGCCTGCTTTGTTCTGTGCAAAGCGTCTTCTACCTACATAATTTTTTCACTGGATGGAATCATACTACTTGCAGTTTATTTACTTTAACTGCTTTTAAAACTAAACAAGATTTTGTGAACGTCTTTCCATGTCAATATCCCTATATCCATATTTATATCCATCTATACTTTTATATTGTCTCGATGGTATAAAATATTCTCCATGGAGCCTCAAGTTTACTCAAACTGTTTTCTTTTTTTAAAGATTTTATTTATTTTTTTGACAGAGAGAGAGAGAGAGACAGCATGAGAGGGAAAACAAGCAGGGGGAGTGGGAGAAGGAGAAGCAGGCTTCTCACTGAGCAGGGAGCCCGACGCGGGGCTCAATCCCAGGACCCCGGGATCACGACCTGAGCCAAAGGCAGACGCTTAATGACTGAACCACCCAGGCACCCCTACTCAAACTGTTTTCTAATATTGAACGACAACAACAAATCCATGATGTGCACAAGGATTTTTCTATTTTCTCTCTGACCAAGCTTCTCTGTTCCTTAGGAGGGTAGTAGAAAATATTCTTTCATTTTCCACCAAACATTTACTGTCTACTCTGTGCCAAACATAGTGCTCTGGGCGCATGAATACAAAGATGAAAAGGGAAGTGTCTGTGCCCCTAAGGTGACCGTGGTCTTACGAAGAAGATAAACAATGTCAAAGATAATTACAACAATTGCTGTACGTATTGGAACTATATTATCCCTTTTAACTTATTTTAAATTTTCAAAAAAAAAAAGGCTAAAATAGGCACAGAGAATATTTTTCTTTTTTTGTGTGTCAGGCAGTAATTTCATTTTTATAAAAGAAAATAAGCTAAAAGAGCCACAGGGTCCTTTGGGCCCTTTGTTTTTCATCGGGTCCAGGAGAAAAAGTGGACCTTTCTGTTTGCGTTCGGAAGCAAGCCCCACTTTCTGTGGACCAAGGAAAGACAGGTTCCTTCTAGATTGCCATGTCCCTTGTTTGCCAATGCATCACTGTCCTTGCTTTCTTGTTTTCAACAGAGTGGAAGGTGTCTTGAAACACCTCACCGTATTTGTGCACTTTTCTCTGCCAGGCAGTGGGTCAGCAGGGGTGTTAACATCAAGTTGTAACCTCTAACAGAGCGCTCTGAATTTCCATCCCTTCTTCTCTCCTGCTTGCTTTCCCTTCTGTGGTGGCGATGGCGCCGTTAGGTTGGTGTAGAGAGCAGTGTTGACATCCTTGATTGTCCTCTGACTGTAAGTCCCCACCTTCGGCTCCTGCCCAAGCCCGCCTGCGTGTCCCCCTTGCACTCCCCGCCCATGCATCTGGGCTCTCCTTGCTTCCTGCGAGTTTATTTTCGCCGTGATTGAATTCACGGTTGCGGTTTTGAATTGTAGCCTAGTTTCTTCTCTACTCAGCAAGAGTAGCAACTCTAACTCTAAAATCCAGCCCCTCCCCGCCAAAAAAAACCATTCAAGTGCCTTCCTGAATATGTTTTTGAATGTTTGCACCAAGGTTGTTCCCAACTTTATAATTTCAGCTTCATATCTATGTCTCGATATTTAGAAAGAGTGTCTGTGAATCACTTCTTTAAATAAAGTCACCTGCAAATCCTCTGTGCTCGGCAGGCCAAAGCCCCAAATTCAACTTACAGAAAGGAGGCCTAGCAATGCGGAGTGTGGACTCTCGGAGATTAGCCCATGCTCAGATATTTGTCCCTTCCTAAAGCACCACACAGTTGACTTGCATAGACTATTTTCAAGCCCTGGAGTACGTACCACTCACTCTTTGGTTTTGCATAGATTAAGATGAAATGGCTCTTAGAAGACTTCGAGACTTAAAGTGATGCTGCCCTAATATTGGGACTCCTTGGTGCAGGCACGTTTCCTAGTAAAACCTCCCTGTACATGTGTAGTCTAAGAAAAGCTGATGGGCCTTTTGAATGGAGAACCATTGCCTTTATCCAGAGTATTTGCTTTTTATTCCACGCTCACTTTTTCCTGGGAGGAGGAAATTCCTAAAAAAGGAGAAGTTTGCGGGTGCCAGATTTCCTTCCCTTTACTTTTGGACAAGGCTCAGTTACCTAAACAGAACATTCAAAAAGCAATTTGAATACTACTGCCTGTTGGAGCCTATTCTTTCATAAGAAATACTGCTGATACCCAGTTAGGAAGCACCCCCTGGATAAAGTCATTTGGGGCCATGTTGAAGTGTAGTTTTCTAACCTAAGGTTTTGTGCGGGTGTGTTTTTCTTCAACAGGAGATGGCGAATATTTTGGCTCAGAAGCAACTGCGTTCCATCATTTTAACAGTGAGTACCTATGTGGGGTGACCACCTTGTTGGGCAGGAATGGTTTGGTGCGTTCATTTATCTCCCCTTTTGGCTTCAGTTTGTGGTTTGTTCTGTGACTTGCTTCTGTGATGAAGCAGTAGTAACTAGAAAGGAGGCAGAAGTGTGCTTTTGGAATTGGAATAAACAAGGCTTTCCCACAGGAATGGTCTCATATGATTGGAAGGAGTCATCTCTGGAACTGCCCTAGAAAGACAGTCTGGCAGGAAGGGGAGGAAATCTCTCCCGGTGGGGCAGGTTTATTACACTCACCATCATTTAGTTTTTCATTTTTTTAAAGATTTTATTTATTTGAGAGAGAACATGAGGGAGAGAGAGAGAGAGCACAGGCAGGGGGAGGGGCAGAGAGAAGCAGACTCCCCGCTGAGCAGGGAGCCCGATGCGGGGCTCCGTCCCAGGACCCTGGGATCATGACCTGAGCCGAAGGCAGACGCTTAATGACTGAGCCACCCAGGCGCCCCCTCACCATCAGTTTAGCTTTGTATGTAGGAAATCAGGGGCTCCGTGACTTAAAAATATCCACTGGTGTGAGCTTATACTGTTTTTAATGAGGAAGCTAACTGGAGACCTGTCAGACTCTGACAGAAGTCCTGAAATTCTGACCATCATTTCCCTGGGCCCCTTTGCAAGAGACAAGCAGGGAAGATGTACATGGAATTCACTGGTTAACTGCAATGCAAAAATGACCTGAAATGTGAGTGCAAAAGAAGCCCTGCATGTTATGTGGTGAATGTTTAGAAATAAATTGAAGGGCATGATTTCCTGAGGCCTTATCCGCTATTTGACTTTAACCAAAGACTGAAAGAAGCACGCATGATTGATTCCCAGCTTACCAAAGAAGCAATTTCTGTTTCTATGATTTCAAAAGGGAGTTCTGCAAGCTCACACACACACACACGCACGGACAGACATGCACGCATGCACACGCGTGCACACACACACACACATTCCAATACAATGAGGCTGTTGAAAATTAAAAACCTTATGAGGGCAAACACAATAAATACTCTAGAATCCAGAGCCAACAGCAATGACTACAATTTGTCATCGAGTTTGATTTTGAACTTCTGGCTGACTAGGATAAAAAGAAACATATGAGTGTAATTTTCGTTGTTTGATAAAAGAGGTACCCCAGTTCTTCGGGGATGACATACTTCTCCCCCTGGACCTGGAATATGAAATGGGTGTTGGTAGAGCATTCGAATAGATTTTTGGTCCAAGAATGGTTGGGTAGAGATTGCAGGAGGATTCATAATATGTTTAATCTTTATCCTGGTTCTTAGTAAAAGTGGAAAGTGCAATATTAGAGCATAGTCCAGTGAAGGTATTTCTGGGAGAGGAGGGGAGTGGAGAGACAAAGGATGAGAAATGTTAAATTAAGGTCTTAGCCTGCTGTTCTTACCTGGGTGTGGCAGTCAGAGTTGGAATGCTCAGAGAGGGGGTGGGTAGAATGGCTAAAGCCACCGTGTCTGAAAGATCAGTTTGCTTCGATGGGACTTCTCCTATGAGACTTTGATGGCTGGAAGTTCAAGGCTCATATTCTCAGGCAAAAACTTGGAGTGCAGATACTTTTGAATTGTTAATAAAATAGATGGCCTATACACCTCAGATATGAAATATTTACTCTGAATTAACATTCTGTTCTGAACTGGAAGGGTATGGCGTTTCATTCCACCTCCCTATCTCACTGCCTAGCTTCCCACACCCACCACCCCCATTATCTTGGTTCAGTGACTTCTTTCTGTTCCTCATTTTTCTCCCCACCCCTCCTGCTTTAACTGGCTATTTTGACACGGTACTCCCAGCCAGGGTGTAGAGTCCAAGTGCATGCTGGTTTTGGGGCACCTTGAGAAAGTTCTTTCAGACGGCAAGACGTGGTTGGGTCTAGCACATTCAAAAAGCCACATTGACCTGTCCTTTGGCATTTTTAAGGGATAACCATGGTCTCTGCTAAAGAAGACATATGTTAGGCCCAAGTGTTCAGTCTCCTTTGTGATCCAGCTCCGGTGCGGGCAAAGGCTCCCCATATCTAGTCTCCTGCCGTTTCTTTTATATTTGTTGCATTTTGGTTCTGTTTCTAAGGGGAAGGGTCATTTTGTTTTTCATTTAATTGTTAGCAGGCGAGTAAAGTTATGCATTACATGAAATGAATTCCCTCATTGCATTGTGGTGGTGGTGGTCTCTGGATAGTTTCCATGGTGAATTAACTGCAGGCCTGATAGGTACTTTGCTTTTTTATGTTGCTTCTAAAACTTTTCCCCATTTAGAAGTTGGATCACCTCTCAGACTGTTGACGGCAAGATGATGGCAAAATTGCTTACAACACACACACACGATTTGTTTCTCTGTTGCATGCAAGGAAGGCTTCTGTTGTAGAAATCCACAGCTCTCTTCAAGATACTCTACGTCAGGCACACTTTCTTGACTTATATAGTTGCGATCACCAGGACATGTCCAGTGCCTTCTTTTCTTCTGCTCTCTGCTGCACACAGCAGCTCTTTACCTGGAGTCTGGCCTAAACATCAGGAACTTTATTGGGCCAAAATAGAAAGAAAAGCTCCAAGATCACCTGCATCCTCACCTTTCTTCTGAAGGGTGGTCCCACCAACCTACATTCTCCGGGCTTCAAGTGAAGACTTCTGGGGTTTTACTTGGCATAATGACGGGGGTTAAGTTAATTGTTGCTGGCTTTTTCTTTCTTCCTTTTTTTTAAAAAAATATTATTTCTGAACTATCTCCCCAGCATGTCATCCGAGCTCAGAGAGCCATCAACAATGAAATGGCGCACCAGCTGTATGTGCTGCAGGTGCTTACCTTTAACCTTCTGGAAGACAGGATGATGACCAAGATGGACCCCCAGGACCAGGTGAGTGCTCGCTAGACCGCAGCAAAAGCATATACGGGAGAGAAAGTGGTTATTAAAAATCTTTTCTTGGGCTACTCCCAAACCAGGAATTTGTAGATGATGATATTGTTTTATTATCAACTTAGAACTTGGAGGAATATATACTTTTTAAGATTTTTTAAAATTTATTTGAGAGAGAGAGAGCACGAGCAGGGGGAGGGGCAGAGGGAGAAGCAGGCTTCCCACTGAGCAGGGAGCCTGATCCCAGGACCCTGAGATCATGACCTGAGCCCAAGTCAGATGCTTAACCCAACACGCCCCAGAACTTGGGGGGAATATATTTAAAATTTAGGTGAACATAGGCTCAGAGAATAAAGCAAATGGATTCTTTCATTATACATCAAACACATGCATATTCTTTTATTGGATAAGAAAGCCTGATATCACATGGCCACAGATCTTGGCCCGTGGTCCTAATACCATCAATGGTAATAGCTTTGGAGTCAAGTTCCCAGACAACTTGGGCCATTTGGTTTCCCTGTGTGATACTGATTCAGGTGGAAGAATCAATTGCCTCCATTCTCCAGTGATCAGTGCCGAGGGTGGGGGTGGGGGGGTCCCAGGTTACACCTGATTTCTGGGCTTGCGTCTTTGTTGGTTGGCTGTTTGTTATAATTCTCTCTAGGTTTCTGGTTGTTGTGCATGAAATGTTATGCCTCCATCCAAAAGGCTTTTGGGGGAACTTTACTGTGTGAGGACAGAGTGAGAGGAAACAGCTGGGAGCCCTGCTGTAGCCCATTTTCAACTTAAGCAGCGCTGCAGCTTTGGAAAGGAAAACACTCATTACTGGCACGTGAGGGCCTGATCTAGCGCAGATGTGAGCCGCACATGTGAAGTGTGGAACTGCTGTAGCCCTTCGTCCGTGGCGCCAGGCCATGCGATTAAGAATGATGGAGAGGCTTGGAGAGGCTGTCCAACGTGCCCTGGACTTTTGGCAAGGCCAAGTTTAATCATCCCAGAGAGATGAGACTGTCAGCTTACCACTTCTAGTGACGGAAGGCCATGCATTTTAATGTGGAATGGGCCTCCCCATTTGGAAATGCTTCCTTTTATTTATTGAAAACATATATATATGTTTTTTTCTTATTTACCATTTTAACCATTTTTAAGGGTTTGTTTCCACGTAGTCACTTCTTAGTGGAGGTAGGGATCCCTTGTCACTTGAATGCTGTTCATAAACCTGCACGTGCCTCTCACTTTGGTTCGGCCAGTGTGGGAGTCCCAGGTCCTTGAACTTGGCTTTCCCCAGACCCAAGCCTTCCATCATATTTGGGACTCCATTTAGAACTTCTAGGTAATTGGGGTGCCTGGATGGCTCGGTCGTTAGGTGTCTGCCTTCGGCTCAGGTCATGATCTCGGGGTCCTCGGATCGAGCCCCGCATCGGGCTCTCTGCTCCGCGGGAAGCCTGCTTCTCCCTCTCCCACTCCCCCTGCTTGGGTTCCTGCTCTCACTATGTCTCTCTCTGTCGAATAAATAAATAAAATATTAAAAAAAAAAGTACTTCTAGGTAATTGACCTAAGTATTCCAAACGACTTGGCCGTGAGGATAATCGTGGAATGAAGCCAGGGCTGACCAGCAGGGAGAACGGCAGGGGAACTCTATGCAGAGCCCTAACTTAGAACATCGGTTGTCTTTTATCTGTTTTTCTTTGGCCTGAAAGCAGTAATTCATTTAGACCCTGGGGAAAGAGGGAGTATATGTAATGTCACACAATGAAAGCAGCTCTTCCCTTCCCTCCCCTCTTTTTTTCTCCCTAACGCCTTCAGGCTCAGAGGGACATCATATTTGAACTTCGAAGAATCGCTTTTGATGCAGAGTCTGAACCTAGTAACAGCAGTGGCAGCATGGAGAAACGCAAGTCCATGTACACCCGGGATTATAAAAAACTTGGCTTCATTGTAAGTAAGCTATCTCCAGTAAGCGCTCTCCTTCCAACATCAGGGGTCTGACCTCAGCCACAGAAACTGATGTCTCCTCTGAGCGTGTGGTCCTCTTGCGCCTCGCAGAATAGTTTCCACATTTTCCAGATGTTTAGCTGGTGTAAACAGGATCACATGGCAATCTCTTCTGGCCGCAGTGCAGCAGAATAACTTGTACAAGTGTGACTAATACTGAGTTTGTTTATTCAGCTCTGATTAAGTGTCGTTAGCCCGGAATGCATGTAGATTTCATTAACTCCACATCACAAGATGCTTCAGGTTCTCTTCGAAATAAATGGGTGATGGCAACTGTGGGATGGATCTTATTATTGGGTTAGTGCTTGGATCACTTATATACATGGATTTCATATCAAAATCAAATTGAGAGTCTTCTGAAATGTATTCACGATAAGATTTATGCAATTTGTACTTTCCTAAAATTTTGTCTTGTTACGGACGTGAATAAGACCATCCCTAGATTTCCTTTTGTTCAGTTTGCAAATCAGAACGCCACTTGTCCTGAATATAATCTGCAGTTTTTGTTTCTACTTGGATTCCATTCTGACCTTTATCACCATGGCATTTCTCCTGTGACTTTGAGCTAATTAATCTCAAATTCTGAGGATGTAAAATTGGGTTTCCATTTTGTCCTCCATCATAAATGGGAAAAAAATGAGATTTTGGCTTCAGTGATTAGAAATCATTAGGCATTATTTTAAAATTGCAAATACAATCTTCTTTAGTATGCACACACAGACACATAAGACACAAATATTAATCTTTATATACATCAGTATCACACTTTGTATGTTATATGGGAAACCCTGTCTTTCATGGGGATTGTCTTTGGAAATGTTTCCACATTAGTTAACATGTATTGTTTTTCATTACTGAGGAGTTTTTCATTTTTTGGATGGACTACAGTGTATTTAACCAAACCCTTTTGCTGAGTAGTTCAGTGTTTTGAAATTACCAATAAGTCTAAAATTGACATCTTTGTCACCTGGTAATTACGTGCATCCATAATCACATTATTAGGATAAATTTGTGTCTGTCATAGACTGTCATTTCTATGGCATTTATTTTTTAAGGTTGTTGATATTTACCAAATTGCTTTCCACACTGAGTCATTTCCACATTAGCCCAATGGATCAGAGTGACTATTTTTTTAACCTCTCCAATCTTTCCTAAACCAAAAAAATAAATAAATAAATAAACCTGATAAGTTATTGTTTTTATGGTGATAGTCTTAATATGTCTTTTCTAATAAGAATACTTGTCAAACGTATTCGGCTTTGCAGCTTAACTTTACAGAGGTACTGTGACTTCATTTTTATATAATCATATTTCATATCTTGACATTCCATTTAAATTTTTTAGTAGAATCTATTTTTTAGAATTTTAGCACAAAGTTTCTTGGCCAAGGGACCAGGTGAGAGTTCCCTGTACTTGATGTGTATCGATGGTCAAGGCTAACAGGTGGTCCCAGCCCTGCCGTCACCCATCTGTGTGTTAGCAGAGCCCGTTTATCAGGAATATAGCTGATGAATGTGGATGTAGCTCACGTCCTCCCTCCCTACCCAGTTCTTTCCAGGTTTTACTTCTGTGTGTTGAACAAGGCCTATCCAAATCATGTGGGAAGCTTCACAAAATCACCCAATCTCTCTTGCTGTCCAGTCATAGCAAAATGCCCTGGAAGGAGGTCAAGGGATGTGTATTTCCAAATGCTCCCAATTGATTCTGATACCCTGTCCCAGTGGAGAGCCTGGGGGTAGGGAATGCCCGAGTTACTCCCATTTCATTGTCTTCCTCTGCTACCACCTGGATTGCCAGTGCATTTGAACTGTGCAGAAAAGGCAAAACTCTAGTTCTTGGTTCATAGTGCCCCAGGACTCGCTGTGTCTCTCTGTCCCAGGTGGCGGCAGTTGCAGAATGCACAGTGTCATTTCTCCTTCTGGCTGTGTACCTGAAAGACAGAGGAAAGAGGGGACATTGGGGGAAGAACACTTGCTGGGATTCGGATTATTACAGGTTCCTGGGATTATTACAGATCTCTAGGAAGGGTATATGTAATTGGGGCAGGAGGCATGAAACATCTCCCTTTTTATTTTCATGTTCTAGTCCTGTATGAAATCAGCAGGGATTTCATGAGCCAAAGTCTGAGTGACTTTTTTTCGTATAGCTCCATCTATGTTAACACGTTGTTCATTCCTTCCACGGTTCAGTATTAGAGTGTATCTCCGTCTTAGTTTTCAGTGTCTGCTGAGTGTTCTGCTTCAAGTAGTTTAGGAAGAACAGTGTATTTTTTAACTGAAAGCTAATTCGATGTGGTTTTAAGGCTTTAGCTCTTATGTGGCCTCCTTTCAAAGGACTTGAAAAGTCATTTTAGAAAAAGCAAAGACCTGGAACCTAGAATAACCAAAAAGAGTAGTGTTGGTTTCCTTTATTTTTTCATGGTTCTCTTTTTTTTTTTTTTTTCCTTAGTTTTCAATTTTAGTCCTTTCCCTGAAACTTCTTCCAGGCCACGATTTTGCATCAGAAGAGTTGAGAAATTGGAAAGACCAGTTAGTAATGATTTCTAATGGTGGAAAATTTCCAACAGCTTTGATGAGCACAGATTTTCACTTTTACAAGTCCAGTCAGCCAGAAATAGACAAGCTTCAGTAAATGGAATCATGCGCTCATTGCGCCACCTAGAGACCATTGTGCCAAAACGCTGGAAGCTGGCGGGGTCCCGGTATCTGGCCATAAAATCTCTAGGTCCTGTAAGCTGTCCGGATGCACAGAAAGAGGAATAATCTTGCCTATTCCCTGCATGAACTCCTTCCTGTTGCCTCCTTTAGGAGCAACTGAGGTTTGGATAATTTTTGGATCTCATTGAAGGAAAATTCAATTCGTAAGATGAAGATTGTTCTTTCTCATTTTCCGTCTCCCGAGTAGGCAGTGCCCAGGAAGTGTTAAATGACAAATTTTTGGAGTCGAGTGGGCCTAGATTTTAATTCCATCTTCCCTAATTCCCAGCCATTGGGCCAGCGCACCAGTTGTTGAACCTGTTCGGGCATCAGGTTCCTCGGTTGTGCAGCTACCCATCTATTTCAGGGTCTTTGGAAGGTCATCAAAGATCATCTGTTAGTGCCTGGCACAGCGTCTGGAATGGAGGATGTGCCCAGCAAATAGTACTTCTCTTCCTTGCTTTTTGGAGAGCACATATCTGGAAATCACAGGCAGCCTTTTCAGTTTTCCAAAGTAGAAGGGGCAGTTGCTCCAACAAGCTAGCAGAACAGTTGTTAAAGGATAATAAAGCACAATACCTTTCAGAAGGCAGATGGCCTTACATTCCTTCTCAGCACAGCCTCCCAACAGAGCAGGTTTTTCTGATGAAATAATTCTGAAATCTCAATTTAAAGTGGCTAAATGGCGTGTTACAGCTAGTCATAACACAGAAAAGCACCTGCTTGTAAAACAAAGCCGCTTAATCTTCTAAGATCTCTCGGTTAATGATTCTCTAGTTGCCGAACAGACTTGCAGGGGCCCCGGCGGGAGGAGGGGTCAGGGTTGTCTGGGATGATACTGTTCTTATTGGAAGTCAGAAGGCAAGGGTGCATGCATTTCTCAGGGTGACGGAAGGCACATTCCCATATTTAGAATGACTTTATTTTGAAAACTAGAGAAATGCCCGAATCAAACTGTACCTTGTTGATTATAATGACCAAGAACTGTGCAAAATGGTTTTCATGCTCTGAAGAGTTGCATTCCTGGCCAGAAACCCTTCAGAGTTTGTCTTAATGTCAAATTGGTAGCTTCTCTATTCGTCCAGTCTGTTGGATGGTCCTTACAAAGGACATATCTGTAGTTCATTTTTCTGGTCTCTCTTGAACCAAGGCAGATGTTGAAGTTGGACAAGACTGTTTTTTTTTTTCCTAAATGCCTTTTCTTTCCCATTCCCTTAGCTTGACTGGGCCCCAAATAAACTCATTTTAAATGAATGAATGAATGAATCAATCAATCAATCAATTTAGTAGGTTCCATGCTGGGCGTGGAGCCCAACGCAGGGCCTGAACTCACGACCCTGAGCTTGAGACATGAGCTGAAAGCTCGAAACCTGAGCTGAGATCAAGAATCGGACACTTAACGACTGAGCCACCCAGGCGCCCCAATAAACTCATTTTTAAAAGAAACTGTTTCTGAACAGTATATTTTAATATGAGAAGTTTTGATAAATATTTCCCTTAACATTTTCAGATTGTCTTAAAAGAGAAAAGTGACTAAAATGTGGAAGTGAAAAAAGGTCATGAGAAAAAGATGACTTCAGAATTAAGATTCTCTTTTAAAGTGTAGGTTTGATTGTGTTTCGGCATGGTCGAGGCCAGCACCCCATCTGGAGAAAAGATAATGTATTTACTCATAGTTCTCAAGAGAGGGAGTGTGCCACATCACAGAGGGCATGTGGACAAGCACTGGGCGGGGGTGGGGGGTTGGGCGGGGTCAGGAGGCAGAGGGAGTGAGGGGGAAACGTGGATAAGAGCCTTTGTTGTGGTTTCCATGGAAAAGCAAGGCAAGATAGAGGAAGCAGGTTTAGGATTGGCCAGTTTGAATAATCTCAGTGGTCTTTGGAGCAGAGGCGCTGCCCCTAGCTGTCAGCCTTGTGGTGATGGGGGCCAGGGGACAGTGGCCCAGAGTGCAAAACCCTGATAAAGGAGATCCTTTGGGGTTTGGGATCTGAATTGGCGAGTTGGCATATGAAACGCATGCTTCCTATCTCTAGGAATTAGCTAACCCTGGGAAGGGCAGTTCCTCCAAGGTATCAAAAGATCAGAGAATACAAAAAATTTTAAGAAATGACTAATACAGATTCATGTTAAAATTTTTAGAGGATTTTCTACTAGTATCCCAGATGATAGAAGATAATTATGCATCTTTACACAAGTATAATTATACATAATTGCATATGCAGTGCGTGGTGTCATTTTAATATTTTT